CCCTCTACACCAACATTCCACACAAAGATGGCTACAGGCGCAGGAACACTATCCCGATAATGTCACTAACTGGTGGCTGAACTTTGTGACTTTGTCCTTACCCATAACTATTTCACATTTGGGGACAATGTATACCTTCAGATCAGCGCATGCTATGGGTACCCACTGCCCCACAGTATGCCAACATTTTTATGGCTGATTTAAACAACCTTCCTCAGTCTCGTCCCCTAAACCCCTATCTATTGCATATTGATGACATCTTCATCATCTGGACCCATGGAAAAGAAGCCCTTGAGGAATTCCACCATGATTTCAACAATTTCCATCCCACCACCAACCTCAGCTGTCCAGTCCACACAAGAGATCCACTTCCTGACACTACATGCTAATAAACAATCCACATAAACACCACCCTATACCAAACCTACTGAGCTATTCCTACCTGCATCCTCCAGTTTCACCCTGACCACACCACACATCCTCGTCTACAGCCAACTCTGATACAACCGCATTCTCCAACCCCTCAGACAGAGAAAACACCAAAGATCTCTGTCAAGTTTCTTACACACAATACCCACCTGCAGAAGTAAAGAAAAGATTGATAGGCCAGAAGAGTTCCCAGAAGTTACCTACTACAGGACAGGCCTAACAAAGAAAATAACAGACCACTACTCACCTTCACCCCCAACAAAACCCCCTCCAACGATTATTAAGGATCTACAACCTATCCTAAAGGATGCCCAACACTCTCAAAGTTTGGGAGACAGCAGTCCTTGCCTACAGACCCCCAACCTGAAGCAAATATCACCAACAACCACTACCACACAACAGAACCACTAACAGAACTTATCCTTGCAACAAAGTTCCAATTGTGCCACATATCTATTCAGGGGAACCATCACAGGGCTAATAACATCAGCCACACTATCAGAGGCTGTTCACCTGCACATCCACAATGTGATATATGCCATCATGTGCAGAATCTCTGCATGTAATTGGTCAAACTGGAAGTCTCTACGTAAAAGAATAAATGGAAAAATCAGATGTCAAGAATTCTAACATTAAAACATGGAGAACACTTCAATCTCTCTGGTCACCAATCACAGACATGAAGGTCGCTATCTTAAAACAAAAAACTTAAATCCAGACTCCAGGAGAAACGTGAATTGGAATTATTTGCAAATTGGATACTATTAATTTAGGCTTAAATAGAGACTGGGAGTGGTAAGTCATTATGAAGGTAGCCTGTTTCCTCTTGTTTTTTACCCCCCCCCCAGATATTCTGGTTTAACTTGGATTTAAACTTGGAGAGTGGTCAGTTTAGATGAGCTATTACAGAGGAGAGTGAGTTTGTGTGTGTATGGGGGTGGGGGGAAGTGAGAAAACCTGGATCTATGCAGGAAATAGCCCGACTTGATTATGTAAAGAGTTGTCACTTTGGATGGGCTAGCACCAGAGGAGAGTGAATTTGTGTGGGGGGGTGGAGGGTGAGAAAACCTGGATTTGTGCTGGAAATGGCCCACCTGTTGATCACTTTAGATAAGCTATTACCAGCAGGACAGTGGGGTGGGAGGAGGTATTGTTTCATATTCTCTGTGTGTATATAAAGTCTGCTGCAGTTTCCACGGTACACATCTGATGAAGTGAGCTGTGGCTCACGAAAGCTCATGCTCAAATAAATTGGTTAGTCTCTAAGGTGCCACAAGTACTCCTTTTCTTTTTGCGAATACAGACTAACGTTCCTCTGAAACCATACTTTATTTTATGAAAGATGTAACAGAAATGAAATGCTCACTAAGGAGAAAATAAGAAATACTTGATACTTCTAGGTGATCACACAAAAACTGTGATACCACTGTAGAGCCTTGTTTAAAAAGCCTTTAATGTTGTTTCAAATTGTCACTACAACTGTCCTACAATACAATGTTATTATCTTTCCTATTCAGAGAACTAGGTTAATGGATTCCAATATCAGTAAAATGCAAGAAGACAGCAGTGGAAGGCATTAATTTTTTGGTGACCTTTCCTCCTTCAACTATTAACAAAAAACACTTAAATGCATTCCTACTTTTCTGCGATCAGCTCTTTACATGTTTAAGTTAACTACTGAAATATAATCTGAAGAAATATAATGATTAAATTAAACAGAGCCCTAGAGAGTAAGCCGCTTTCACAACGTACCTAATTTCTTCTAATTTAAGATGAGTTCCAAACATTGCATGGCTGAGCAATATTTCAGTGCACTAGAACCAGTCAGGTTAAGTCATTTGCTGGACACCTCTGCATACTGCTGACATGCTATTTTAAAAGACAACCTGAACTCAAGTCAGTTTCAAAAAGTTAGCTCGGAGTAGCTTGATGTACTACATCTGCCCTTGAATCTGACTCCCAAATTTTGTAGTTTTACACTCACATTTTCCCTTTGTTTTTTTCAAATATTTCCACTCCGATTATTGTAGGAAAGACCACACAAATAAAGGAAATGGACGGCTGACTATGTGGGAAAAATGGTTAAATGGAATACACATGATTGTGCTATCAAAGCACAAAGTAAATATACAGAACAAAAGAGAAGATTTTTATTTACTCACCTTAAATTATAACAATCTGAGGTGTTACTTATAGCAAGTGTAGGTAAAACATTTTCAGAGAGAACTGTGGTTTTTAAGTTAACAGGTTCTCTATAAACAGATATTCCATTGAAATCAGTTAATATATTCCATGTAATGGCAATGGAAAAAGTGTATACGTGATAATTAAAAAACGAAAGAGCTTTCCTTAGTAGCAGAGGCAAGAAGCATTAGATTGTTTGCGGGGTTTTTTCCACCACACTTACTCATTGGTCCACCTGGAATGGGATGTTTTCATCCATCAGGAACCTTTTCATCCTAGTTAACTTGCTGGATAACTACCAACTTGGAACCCTACCTTATTCAAACATATTTGTTGTGTTTGTATTTAATACTTTAAGCCCAGTGAGAGTTTTCACAGTTGAATTACAAACTCTTTAAAATTAGTTTATAATGGAAAATGCCACTGGCCTACCCATTAGCAACAGAAACAGTTTGAGACCTTCTGGGAACCTCCTGTAAAAAGGACCTGTGACCCCAACTGAACAGGCTACCCTATGTTCTGATTTATAAAACAAAGTGTGAAATTTTAAAGCTGGTTTTATCTCAGTTGAGTTTCTCTCAGGCAGCATTGAGGAAGCAGAACATCTGCATGATTTAGAAAGCAACAAAATAACTCTTGGTATGGAAAGAGTAAAGGGTTCAGTCAGGAGCAGCAAATAAAAATCATGCTCAAATCTGTAGGAAGAATTTCAAGAAGACATACGGGGGTGGGTGGGCATAACCCCATTATGTACCTTGGAATCACCCATAAATCCTTAAAACTCTGTTAATAAACTAGAACTCAGAAAACACAAATTACTGATTTACACGAGAAATAACATTCCATCACTATAAATTTCACACAAACTACTACATTAAAAAAATTTAGTTAACTTAATCAAAATAAGTTTACTTCCTTCTTTCACAATGCTATTTATAAGAAAAAATTATTTTTAAATCTGAGTTGACTAGTTTTCATGAAAAGTGCTGGCTGTTGCTGGGTACTACAGTATGCAAAACTCAAGTTTAGGAACAACCTTGGGTCTTTAGGCCAGTACTCAGGCATGTCCTGGATATGATGTCATGATGCCTAGGGGCAGATAAAGTCACTTGGTAAAGTGCATCTAACTAGCTGGATTATAGTGTGGCATTAGCTTCTGCCTTGAAGCAAGAGAGGGGGGTGTTCCAAACAAGGAAAACAGAAGAAGGCCAAAATGGGAAATGGTGGTTTCCTCACATTGGTGGGGTTGAAGAGCATCTCAGATTCCTGTCTTGAATATCTTGTGTGACCAAGACAGAAAGAACGCAAAGGAAATTCCACTATCAGCCTCATCCTTCCCTCCAAAATATATCAAGCATTATGGTATTGTGCATGTTCCCCGCAGCATAAAATGCTGATATAGTAGGTAGTATATGTGAAGGCTTCCTTCTTAGGAAGCAAAGGCTTCATTTCATTTTTCACACCTGAGACATGTCAAAATGTACATTTACATACAGAGAGCAAACAGTATACTTGCCACAAGAAGCGTATCGGTTGGGGCGTCCAGAGGGCTCTTTACTCATATTCCTCATTCCTCAAGCCTATATGAAGGAAGGGACAAAAAAGGAAAAAATAGCAAAAAAAAAAAATATATAGTTATCACTGAACAGGAGTGTAGACAACTTTTTTTTTTTTATTGAGGCAGGGCTAAAGTTAAAAAATAATAAAACAGCAGCTGTTGGATATCGCTTCAATTAGTAGCATTGTACCAAAATTAAGTCTGTCCACTTTTAATTAAGTGAGATAAACAAACTTCTGTTCCAGGCTCAGTGGTTCCTGATTTGTTGTTCTTTTTGAGGGGTTAGAGCCTCTCCAAATCCCCTTGTATTTGCCCCTGTTTAACCAGATGGTGAATAACCCCCCCCCCCCACCCCCACCCCCGAGCTCCTTAGACTCCTGGTGCCCTACAACAGCCTGGCCATGATCAGCATCAGGCGGGGTCCCCCGAACTAAAGCAGCACGTGGGCATGGTGGGACGTGGCCTGGAAGCCCCCACCCCCAGCAAGGGAAAGGGCTCAGCTTGACACCCCCCCCCACACCCCCACCACCCGCGCCCAACCTGGTACCCACAGACACGCCACCCCCGACAGACAGACAGACACCCCACCCCCTCAGATACCCCCCCTACCCCTTGACAGACACGCCTCCCCTCCCCCCGCTTTCGGGGTCCCTTACCGGGAGTGCGGGGGGGGGGCTGGGGGAGGGAGCGGGCACGTCCCCTTGGAACCCGGCTCACGCGCGCGCTGGAAGGAACCGACCCAGCACCACGCCGCCTTCCGCGACAACCACAACAATCCCCGTTTCCATGGCAACGGGGACTCGTTCAGGGCCACGCGTGGCGGAGGCGGGACTCCAGGGGCCAGAGGGAAGGGGCGCGGGCGGGCCCGCGAGCCGCTACGAGCGCCGCGCGCGCCAAGGGGCGGGTGAGTGAGTGACGGGCACCCGCCCCGCGGCAGGACCCCCGCCACGGTGGACCTTTCCCTCTTGTGGGTGCAAATGACACTCAGCCCTTTGGTCCAGGAGGTGCGGTGCTGCCCAGCGCTCAGGATTGACATGCCTGACAGAGCTGGGGGCCTGAGTCAGGGGCTTTCACATTTTCTTGGGGTCTGCTCCCGTTATCCCTCTGTAACTGATTGCCCAGACCATCTTCCATCTCCTTTCTGATTGCACAGCACCCCTCTGGCAACCGTAGCAAATGCTCACCTAGAAAAGTAACAGGAAAATATTTTTTACTTTTCTGATGATTCCCACGGTGTCTAAAGGTGGCTCCTGTTTCCTCTCTTCCTGTATAGCAGCAACTACAACTGGAGGCAGCCAGGCTACTTTCTCCTTTTGCAGACATGCAAACTCTTGTTTGCAATGAAGGACCTGGGTACCTATAGAAACAACTAGTGGAGACAAGAGACTGTAATCTGCCTGCTCTTGACAGATTGTAAGAAATGTATGGGCCTCAGTTTGGGAGCTCCTGCCCTTAATGCTCATTAATGAATTCAGGGAAGTCCTCTTGATATATGTATCAGAGATGGTAATAATGGTTTCTTCTGGTCCTAAAATCTAAATGCCAGTGGGAATAAAAGGAGTTCAGCCTTTCACAGGAGACAATGTTGGAGGATTCAGCTCCATGATATTTTTTCACTTGTTGAGTCTCTTGAAATAAGAATGTTGAACATATGTCCCATCTTTCCAGGCTGAGCTCAGGGACCTTATGCTTGGCTTGTTCATTATGATATCACCAAGAACAGCCTGTGACATATTTAACAGCACTGAGTAGGGCAAAGGACATTCTAGGTTGACTCCTCTTATTATGATGTTATTCACTCTATCCTGAAGGCAAGTGCAGTACAAGGACAGCTTTCCTTTCAAAGAAGACTTATAATTACTAGATATTACCTTATTTTAAATTCATGATTAAAATTGTGGGTCATAAATAATAATAATAATATAATTAATACCTTATTTCACCTCATTTGCATGCTCCTATTTTTTCAGTGGTGAGTGCAAAGCAAATAAAAACATGTACAGAATTCCAAAGTCTTCAGGAAGCACCTATCTACCTCAGGATGAAACAAGCCATGGCACCAACAGTGACAGCTCAGACACAGAAAATCAAAGCCAAGATCTAAACTGGTATGTATATGGATACTTTTCTTTTAAAATATTCAGTCTCTGTTAACTTTTGTCATATGTATACAAGTTATACAAATAATTATAAAATCTTTTTTTAAAGTTCTTATGCTCCCAAATACACTTACCACTCCTTCATCCATTTAAGAAGAAGAGAAAAGAGAAAAATAAAACAATGGCATATTCTCAGGGCCCAATCAAGTGCTCATTGAAGTCAGTGGCAATTGTTCCATTGATTTCAATTTGTCCTGGGACCTAAATAGGATTTGATTTTGTTTCAAATGGGCAAGGGAGGTGGTAGTTATGTAATATGATATATAAAGTCATAAACATTTGCACTGCTCAGTAATATAATCTAATAATTTACAGATATTAAATAAAGCCATTCTGTTTTGAAGCCTGTAGATTAACTATTTAGTAACATCTAAGTTATTGAGTAACTTAGTGTTACTGTCATTTATGTAAATTGTGGTTTGGAGGATAGCCATTCTTCCTCTGTCAGTAGTGTGTTTTGCTTCCGTTATTTCAAGATGCTCCATTTGGCAGAAATCAAGTTGATTCTTAATCAAGTTCTCTTTTATGAAGTAATGTCCTTTATTTAATTAGGGATGTGACAAATATTCCATTCATATGTGATTTGTATGCAAATATTGCCATTTTAAAAGGATTTCTATCTGGCCAAATCGTGAATTTGTGAGGGAAAATATGAACAAAAGAAAGCAAAACTTTGTCTTGGAATCTTTTACTGTTTGAGACAGTAGGCCAAGTACCCATTTTTCATCTAACCAAATCGTTTGCTTTTCCTGCATCTCTGACCATGTCAGGCCCTTTTTCAGTCCCTTCACTAGCTTTCTCTTGATTGCCCACATTTAACTTGAAAAACGTATTCTCTCCTGAAAGGCCCTGAAAACTTTCCCTATACCTATTCTTATTCTCAACTACCATCCAGCGCTCTCACTCCACCCTTCAGTCTGTCCAAGTCACACCATTTATTGCCCTCCTCACATTCTTTTCTCATTCCCATCTCTTGTCCTTCATACATGGTGACCTATCTGCCTAGAGCATCCTATCTCCTAGGTAAATACTGGTACCCTCCAGGGATCTGTACCTGGACCAGTGCTGTTCAGCATATTCATAACTGTTCTGGAAAAAGGGGTAAACAGTGAGGTGACAAAGTTTGCAGATGATACAAATTTTTTCAAGATAGTTAAGTCCAAAGCAATCTGTGAAGAGTTACAAAGGTATCTCACAAAACTGGGCAACAAAAGGGCAGATGAAATTCAATGCTGATAAATATAAAGTAATCCACTCTGGAAAACATAATCCCAACTATACATACAAAATTATGGGGTCTAAATTAACTGTTATCACTCATGAAAGAGATCTTGGAGTCATTGTGGATAATTCTCTGAAAACATCTGCTCAATGTGCAGAGGCAGTCAAAAAACTAACAGAATATTAGGAACCATTAGGAAAGGGATAGATAATAAGACGGAAAATATCATAATACCACTATATATATATATATATATCCATTGTATGCCCACACCTTGAATAATCTGTGCAGTTCTAGTCATCCCATCTCAAAAAAAAGATATATTAGAATTGGGAAAGGTATGGAGAATGGCAACACAAATTATTAGGGCATGGGACAGTTTTCGTATGAGGAGAGATTAAAAAGACTGGGACTTTCAACTTGGAAAAGAGACAACTAAGAGGGGATATGATAGAGGTCTATAAAATTGCGACTTGTGTGGAGAAAGTGAATGTGGAAGTGTTATTTACTCCTTCACATAACACAAGAAGTAGGGGTCACCCAATGAAATTAATAGAGAGCACGTTAAAAACAAACAGAAGGAAGTATTTCTTCACACAACGCACAGTCAGCCTGTGGAACTTGTTGCCAGAGGATGTTGTGAAGGCCAAAGCTGTAACGGGGGTTCAAAAAAGAACTAGATATGTTCATGGAGGATAGGTCCATCAGTGGCTATTAGCCAAGATGGTCAGGGATGCAACCCCATGCTCTGAGTGTTCCAAGCTTCTGATTGCCAGAAGCTGGGAGTGGACAACAGGTCACTCAATATTTGCCCTGTTCTGTTTATTCCCTCTGAAGCACTTGGCATTGGCCACTGTCAGAAGAAAGGATACTGGGATTGATGGACTATTGGTCTGACCCAGTATCGCTATTCTTATGTTCTTATAACCCAGACTGCATGGCTGCTCATTAAAGTCCCTCCTCAAAACATTGCTCTTCCCAAAAAAAACCCATAAATCAAAATCCTCCCTGCAATCAACCACTGAACTGAAATACATACCAATAAAGCTAAAGCAGTCTAGCAAACTTAGAATAAGCTTGCTGTTCATAAGAGGCTCTGGATCGTAGAAACAGAGAAAACTGTGAAGATACTGTACAGTACACAATGGTCTTTACAATGCTTACTCTTGATAATAAGAATGGGTAACATGAAATTTTTGAAATTCTTTGAATATCAAATCCTTGGTCTTTCTTATAAAACAAAAATACTTGATTCTAAAAACTGTGGGGATCCATAAGAGCCATCTGGTCAGGGTTACAGGCAGCAATCCTCTATACCAAGCAGCATGTGGGGGCAGGCTACAGTGTTTCGGTGGCAAGAGACAGGTGACATTAAGAGGGAATGGATGGGACATTGGGCTCAGAGCTGGGCTGGAGGGAAGATGCTGCAGTAGAAGAGAACTGATGAAAGATAAGAGTACAGGGTCAGGACAGTTGAAAGCAGGACCAGTGGGAGAGAGCAGGTGGGAGACTGGGAAGAAGTGCTGGGACAAGATGGATGGCAGAAGCTGGGAATCTGATGAAATGAGTACAGGACATGACACAGTATTTGTGTCAAATTTCAGAAGCAGATTTGTATAAATTTGAATCCAGCAAAATGGCCAGATTTGTGTACCAGCAGATTTCATTTTGAGATTCATCACATCTCTACTTAAAATTTTAAGCATGTTGTAGATGACAAAGTTTATTAGACTGCTAAATATTTTTGGACCATATTATAAAATACTGTCTCCAAATCTCTGAATGTGTGTACTGTCACTACTCATGCTGATAAAAAACGCCTTATCTCATCTTATCTTTCTCCTTTGAACATTCAATTAATTTGACCAGGAGTTTCACTGAAGAACTCCATTTCTGCACTGTGAAGCCTTCTTAATCTCCCACAGTACTGCAACTGCAGTGTTTTATAGAAAATGCTGGATGTTAGTAAGGGTAACATATGTGCTGGTCATTGCTGCCTCTTCTTCATCCCTGAGGGATACAGAAAGGCTTAGTTTTAAAACATGCAGTGTGTCAATTAAAAAATTGCAGGTATGGTTAAGTGTGTTTATTGCAGGTTGAACTCCTACAGTCATAGCAAATAGTATTCACTACAGATTGTACTCTATTCTTTATCTGATATTGTTTGTTAATTGCCTAAATATATTCCATAAATAGAAAATAAGTTGAAAACATTAGGGTTGCAAAGTCAGGCAAGTTGCATGTGCAACTTAAGTGCTGGCATTTCCTGGCTTTTAAAGTTTTTATGTGACTTTAAAGTTTTTTTAGTATAGGATTTTTAATGGAATTTTAAAAAAGATTTATAAAACTAAGGTAGTTTCTTAATTATTTTTGTTCATTATTGCCAAATTCCAGAGCCGAGTGATAGTCCAATTAGTTGAATTGGCTGTTAGGTAGATAAGCTAGAGAACACAGGGTAAAGAATTCTGTTTCCTGGTCTGTGAAATGGTAATTAAATCAAGGCTTAAAATTTTGCCTCCCAGTGTTTACATGTATAGTTAATTGTACCCATTTGGATAACTAATTGTCAGTCAGATATGGGTAGCTAGGCATCTAAATGAGTGCAACTGTGGGTGCAAATACTTGTACCTAAGTTCTAGAGGTTGTTTTCCTCTGTTGTTTTGCCTGCATCTGGCCACTCATACAACTCTTGGATTTCTAAAGCCCTTTTCTATTTTCTAGGCTATCTCACAGACAAGGACCCACACCCAGTAGTACTGAAAGCCAGACCCCTATTAGTCTCAGGCAGGAAGATAGGCAGCTTCAATGCTCACCCAAGAGTAAGTTCAAGTGATTAGTGATTGTAAACTGTCCAGTTGTATGTTGTGCACTTACAACATTTCTGTTTTATAAGTTGTTCTGTTGTATGTGTTTTTACATTTTTGATTGTTTACGCACCTAAAGAGATGTTGTTGATAGACACATCCTATAAGGTGGGGGAAAATATATTAAAGCAGAACTGAATTAGGACCATGTTAAGGTTGCATGGCTAAGCAGTCAAAAGTCAGGAAGTTGAGGTTGTGTGTGCCACATTAATTTTATTTCCTTATATCTATGCATGACAATACAGCCTTTAATTACATATTCATGTGCTATTTCACAAATAATTCCATGTAATACCATGTAATTTTTTCTACAACCCTAAATGCACAGGAAGCATCTTATAGTATTATGTACTAATCAGACAAACAGAGTCTATGGCAGTTATTTATATATAATATTGGCAGAGACCAAAGCTAGAGCTCCACAGAACCCCTTGTCTCATTCACTGTGCACCTTGAAGGACTGGCCTTATAATGTTGGAGACAAAAAAATAAAAAGATCATTGTGGAAGCTCCATAATGGATCTAGAGTTAAGGTTCATTGAGATTAGGTTAGTTCAAGTGGAGTTAACTGTTGCATTGAAGAGAAGACCTTAGTGGTAAGGATGCTTGAGCCAGAAAGAAACCAGCTGGACGTTTTACAGAGATGGTGATAGGGAACACAGCAACATCTCTTTATTTTATAAACTGAGAAAATGTGATCTAGAACAACTGAGCATATGTCTTTATTGGAAAAAAGAAAAAGTGTGTTTTTAAACTTGGGTTAAAAGAGCAGTGAAAATACAGGGTTAACAAACAGCTCCAGGTCAAATCCAGGCCCTCCATGTACTTTAAAATAAGGTGATAATCCAAATTAAAAGATGAGTTGCCATGTCTTCACTGCTACGCTAACCCAAGTTAAGAACACACCTTTTTTGCAGTGAAGACATAGCCTGAGAGACAAACTTGAACCCCATTATGCCTATTTTGCAGCGACTTTTGAGAGTAGAACTGCATTTTTAACTACATCTGACTGTATGCTTGTTGCATGTTTTCCAGAAGGTATCAGGCTTGTCTTCCACTTGCTGGGGCTATGCATAACAGTTCTGTGGCACTTTGTGTTGAGAATCTGCGGCGCTTTTGCAAGGTAAAAATGAACAAGAATCTTTTTCTCAAGGATGGGTGGGGAAATAGATAAATGCAGGTGGGCAGGAGAGACAGATTGGTATTAATCACACTCCCAAACCTGACAAAGAATTAAGAGAGTGATTTACATTGGTGTCAATCCAGGCTCTTGCTGAAACCAATTCTGGGATCAGGGGTCACAAGACCAATCACTAATTTTAATGTCTCTTCAGTTTTTGATATAGTGCCTGAATCTCCACTGCAGAAGTTAAAAGAAGCTTCACCATTAATTTCAATAGGTGCAGGATCAAGCCCATGATGAAGCCAACAATATGGGCTTCAAGAAATCCTAAATAAACTTTTTGCTAATACAGAATATGTACATGAAATGTGTGGATGCTACTAACTTTATGCTTTCTTTCTCCTTACTGTTCTCCAGGAAGATTTGGGCTCGAAAGATTATTTCACTGGTGCTGTTCCTCCTTTCTTTATTCTTTTTTGGTGAGTTTCTATAAAGTACAGAGTTAACTGAGACTCTGTAAGGGGGACCAACTTCTTTGCTCTGCCCTGGCCCCTTTGTGCTGCTTTGACAGAGAAGCCCAGCTGAGAACTGAAGTAGGCAGTTGGATATCCAAGCTGGATCTGCCTGCCTCTTCCCAGAGAGTGGATGGGAGGGAAACTGATGTCGGGGTGGGGAGACCCAAGTGCCCTCTCCCAGCCCAGCCGTATGGAGCCAGAATTTTCCCAGGCTTGAGGAGCAGCAGTGATTGGCCTTCACTCACCCCAGGAGGCAGAGAGCCCAGCTTGGGAGGAAGAGCAGCTGCTGGGGGCAAAATCTTCAGAGCCTCAGAAGCCCATGAGATATCACTAACTCTTTTTATTTAAAATAATGAAGAAGAAAAATGTCTTTACTGACTATGGGGCAATGGCACTTTGTGAAATTGGGGGTCCCCAGGGAACTGTTTGTGTTGTTTTGATTCAACTGTTTTGTATCTTTTCTGATAGTTATAAACAGTTATTTAAAATGAAGTTAATAAAAAGAGGGAAATAAAAATAATTAAATAGAAATAGGCAGTAGCAATTTTTTGAAATAGGTGGTAGTAAAAAAAATTAAATAGCGGGAATTCCACAGAATTAATGAAAACATAAGCAGGTAAAAAAGTGAAAATAAGCAGAGGTTAAAAAATAAACAACAAATAAAGCTACTGTCCAGTTTCATCAGAAATTATGTTACCACCTATCTCATCCTTCCTTCTTTCACCATTGCTTACAGTTTGTTAAACCCATTAATTGTCTCTTATCTCAATTTTTCTCCTGTGCATAAAGTTAAGCATCTGTAATTCTCTACAGGTTCATAGCCAAAAAATTAAGTCCATGTGTAATTCTTTGCTGGACCAGTAACTTCGACTCTGGTGTCACAATGAGATCTAATGAGGCAGATTTTTGAATGTGCACAGAGCTCCACTGAAGCCAGTGCAACTGTGTGTGGCCACAAGGTCCTGCCTGCGTGGAGATCATTGCAGGACTGAGGCCACAATAATCCCTGTTCCAAAGAACTGTCTTTTTATATGACCCCCCAATCCTGCAAATCCATACACTGGTGAATAGACCCATTAACTTGACAGTGAGTAAAGTCAAATACGTGCTCTCAGGATTAAGGCCAATAAACATAGGGGACCCTGATCCTGACTGGGATCCGTAGGTGATACTTCTATATAAATAAAAAATAACACATGTAATACGTGAACAATTTAATGTAGGATAAGCCTTAACTTTTGCATTTGAAAATTTATTTTAACCATGTAAACCATAATGCTCCATTAGCATATGTTGAAAATGTATTTTCAAAATTTTTCCCCAGGAAAGAGTATCTCCCCAACTCAAAAATCTATAAGAATGTCATTTCACCCTCCCTTGCAAGATATCCAATTTGGAAACTCAAGTGGAGGGATGGTAGGAATGTAGAAAGGGAGAGGAGCCATAAAGGTTGATTTTGCTTATTGAAATGCTGATGACAACTAATACAGCCCTTGGATGTCCCTCAAGGCTGCATTTTACATCCATTCCAAAATTAGACCCCAGTCTTGCAAACACTTAAACGTGTATTTAATTTGACTTTGGTGGGACTATTCACTGATAGCTTTACTAAAGCTAAGCACATGTGTAAGTGTTTGACAGATTGGGGCCCCTTACTTTTGCAAGAGAATAATCTGCTGGACATGATAATGTTCTAAATTTAAATAAAGTTGTTCTTTTTATGACTAACAGGTACTTACCACATGAGATTGCTTGATGGAGGAGGAATTCAGATGTCCAGGGGAATATATAATGGCTTTGTCCTCTATGATTTTAACCATTTCTGGCACAAGGTGACTTATGATTAGATTTAATCAAATAAGGACTGCCACTACCAGTCTAGCGCTAGGACAGAAAGTGCTTACACAATAACTTGCACCTTCTTTCTGTGGGGTTTCAGGTACTGTATATTGGAGACTCCAGTATCTTGGGATTTAATTATATTGCATTTAGCCACACATTAATAATTATTTCGTTTCCGGGTCTGCTACTCTTTTACTATATGCCTTTGAACAAATCACTTGGGCTAACATTTTCCGAAGTGGCCTTTAATTTTGGTCTTCTTCATTTTTGGTTGCTCAGCTTTAGATATCTGGGATCCCATTATCAGACTACTGAGCCCCTACAACTCCAGTTGAAGGCACGTAATTAAACAAAAGGCTTTATAATATAAACACTTAAAAGAAAACTCCTTTTGTTATAGTTTCAGTATTAGTTAGGGCATGGCTACACTTGCAGATGTAGAGTGTCGGGAGTTAAACCAGCTCTCGGACACAGCAGCAGGGAAAGCGCTGCTGTGTGTTCCCACTGTGTTCCTTGTGACAGTGGAGCATGTCCACATTAGCAGCTCTTGCAATGCCACAGAGAGCAGTGCATTGTGGTAGCTATCCCAGAGTGCAAGTGATTGCAGTGTGCTTTGGAAAGGGTTTGCAAAGCATGGGGGCTCGAGTGTGTCAGCATACTATCTTGTAAGTTCAGGCAGTGGCAGGGGGAAACCCAACATCAGCCCCCACGCACACACACACACACGCCTCTGCAGCAGGAGCATTACACAGTAATGGTTTGCTTTGTGTCCCAGAGCAGATAAGCATGCAGGCTGTCAGAAACGGAGCTTTGAAAGAGGGTATCCACGTGCCTGCAGCCCAGTTCAAACAATGACCAGAGTGGCCAGTTCAGGGGATTATGGGACGTTTCCGGAGGCCAATCCCAGCGCAGTAATGCAACACGTCATCCACACTGACACCCTAGCGCTCCAGCCAGGACACAGAAAGCTCTATGCTTCTCATGGAGGTGGACTACCAGGAGCACTCCAGATGCAGAGTCCAGGTTCTCCAAGTGCCTTGCCAGTGTGGACACCTCAGGAGTTAGGGCACCCGGGACTGATTTAATATGCTCTAACTTGCAAGTGTAGCCAAGGCCTAAGACTTGTATCAAAAAGAGAAACTGGAATAGTAACGCACTTTATCATAGAGAGTAAAAAGAGTATGGCCATGAGTATTCCAACCTTCCTCATAGATAATATATTTACTTGTGTCAGAAGACAGTGAAGTAATGTTGTATTGATAATGTAGAGGAAATCCTTGGTTACAGGGGCCCCAGAAAACAACCGGAAAAGAAAAGAGTCAAAACCTAAAATGGAGATAGTAATGGAGAAGTTTTAGGGAAGGTTCTGACCTCCAATTGGCTGGCTGCTATTCATTTGACCCTTTTTCAGAACTGTAAAAGCTGGTTAGAGAGGGGAAAAAGTTATTGGATTGAGAGTTTGGAAGACATACTTTGAGGATAGGGTGGTTTGATGGAAGTTGACATAAAACTAGATGTAAATAGGTGTGTCCTTGATGTATCAATTAATTTTTTGTGTTAGCAAACTAGATGGTTTGTTTCCTGAAGGGTCTTAACCAATATCCAGGAGCCTGTCATGTAAATTCTTCTTTTAAACAATTATTATTAATAAGAAAAGTAATGTGTAAAATTCTGGATATTGCTTGCAATCAGATAAGTTTGAATTATATTATAACAAACATTTATCTAACAACAAGATTCAAGTTCCAGTGTTTTCCATGCTCCCTCCACAGGAAAAGATGTTTCTTTTTATTCAGATGTCTCTTACTTCCAGTCTGCTTGCTGCAAAAGAGCAGCCTTTATGGAATAAGCTGAGACATTTACAGACACAGAAAAGTTGAAAGTTCAGTACACATTTTGTGTATATGTTTACCGAGATGATGATTGGTTCCTATGGTGGTGGTTTGTTTTTAATAAATTATATTTACCATCTTAGAATAAATAAATCAAATGCATGATGGGAGACTGTGGTATCTGCTTCATGAATAAGGAATTGTCCTGCATTAATCTTATGATCTATATAACTGTCTTTCTCTCCTGGGTATTTATAAGGTGCCAGTTACTGTTTGTATGTTAGTGTTACCTACTTGTAGTATGCAGGCATTGTGTCTCTGAGTGTCTACCATCTCATGTTCCTGTAGAGAGTGATTGCCTCTCTCTGCAGGAGGCTCTGTATGAGCGGTGTTAGTGTTTGGAATGAATGTTTTATTAATATTTCCATTTAGGATGAATCAGAGATATATGGAATGGATATGGAGTCTCTAAGGTAAGGTGGATTTCTGGATGACTTCTTGACTCATTGCTGTAAAGGAATTCAAACCCTGAGCACAACAACTGCACAAATGGAGGAGTTGGGTCTCCCACAAATTTTATACACATTGATGATGTTCCCAATCCGAAAAGTATCTGTAGGGATTTTTTTCTCCCCCTCCCTTAAAATCCAGAGGCAGGGAAGATGTTGGAGCTGGCAATTTTTCTCCCCTGTCTTACAAGCATATAAGTTGCTCATGTGCACAACTAAATAAGAAGGAAAAACTGCTTGCACTTCCATCTTCCTTGGATGTTTGCGGAGAAGCAGTAAAGATTATTATTCTCCTGCTGTTCAGCTTTGTCTTCCTTGTGGTGGAGGGACGGAGAAATTCTTTTGCTGGTTCCCTCCATATTCTGAAATGAATAGGAATAGAAACTTCTGATTGTTCTGCCTTCCTGTAAGGTGGAATAGAAGCTCCTCTGTACACCTTTCCCACTGTAGGTGGAGGAAACCTTTGCTTCTTCCCGACCCTAGCCTGGTGGTGTAGGAGCTGCATGTGAAGAAGCCCTGCATGGTTAGCCAAGATCAGAGGAATAAGAGGATCCATGTGAGAATAATCATCCAAGTCACTAAGGGGAGAATATAGGAGTATGGAGGGGGGAAAGAACAGCTGTGGGGAAAAATGAGAAACTAGAACACTTAGGGTAAGAAGGTCGTTATTGGGGAGAGAGAGTGACGGGGGGAAGTGGTGGACATGAGGAATGAAGGAGAAAAATGTTTAACAGAACAAAGATATTTAAAGTGGAATACAGGAAGATCGGAAGGAAGGAATAGAAATTACCAAAACCGGTGCAGCAGATACACTAAAATGGACTGTAAAAGGTATGAATGAAGAATGGAAAGAGAAGGAAGAACAAAAACAAGGGAGCCTTATCAAGCAGCAGTTTTTGAAAAGTTGATGTCAAGATGCTAGAAAAATAACATGAATGTTTAATTATATAGGAGATATTAGGGTACTATACAGAACTGTGTAGGCTGAAAAAGTGATGGGAGCTTTGGAGTTCAGGTCGGAGGGGGGCATGGGAACCCACTGTTCCCATGTGTAAGGAAAGGGGGACATTTTTGGTCAAGTAAAATATGTTTTAGAAGTTGTTGCAGTGGTGACTGCACTTTTTAATATGTATTTTTCGTTGTTTTATATCTGTTTGTGGTCTGTGTCAGAGATGGCAATTGAGAGATAGGAACTGAGCATATTCTTTTGTGGTCCTGTGTGCCATTTGTGTGAGTAGTTTTTAATCAAATGTAACCTGCTGCTGGCTTGGTCTGCATTCCAGATAAAACCGGTTTACTTTTTCAACCATATGTTCTTTCTTGTTTTGAAATGCCCTGAAATCTTTGAAAGTGCAGGTTATTGTATCTTGTATGCCAGTATTTTCCTGGCAGAATCCTTATTCTTTTGTCCATATTTTATTTTTTTTTCTACATCAAACAAAATCGTAGTCCTTCAAACCCGCCCTTACGCATTTTTTAGGATAGTTGCAGATATGCTTCCACTCACCTCCGTGTTACTCAGGAAGCAGGGTAAAATTTTTGAAAGTGCCTACGTCCTATTGAAAGTCTATTGGACCGAGGGTCCTAATTGTTTAGATATACTTTTGAAAATTTTGCCCATGGGGCAGAGAGGTAGCTTCGCCATCTGAAGGTATTAGAACTGGTATTGAAGTCTAGTTTTCCTATCACTTACAAATTGATCATCTGGAACAGATTTCTTTAAAGGTATAAAAAAAGGTGTCTGTTGCCTGTGTCTCATTCTCATGACATACTGCAAGCCAGACAGGCCAGGAAAATAGTGTTTTCTGTCACTTTTTCCCACTTTTTTTAGGCAGGCAAACCATGTTTTGAAAGAAATCCAATCTCTTAAAGAGCAGGTAGATAAGCTACAGACAGAGCTTCATGCTCTGAGACAAGGTACAAAGGACATCACCCAGCGTGCTATCAGTGAAGCCCTGGAAGGGAGTGAGATCAAAGGCGTTACAACATGGGTAAGAGGACATTGCAGGATTTTGTAGGTAGAGATTTCTGTCTTTCTTTGTATCTACCACAGTTCCTTCTCACACATTTTTTATACTTCATTGACATATGTAGTGTAACAGTCTTGGGAATCCAGGAACAAATGTTCACCCACAATAAAAAAATTCTCTTTGGAATGTAGACTTTTTTGCAGGGTAGCTGGAAGGGTGGGATAACATAGGTAGGAATTTCCATCACCCTAACCATTAAAAGAATACCATCACCTCCTGAACAAAATGTATACTACATTAGACATTTGAAGGAACAATAGTCTAAGCTACAGTACTGATTTTTCACTTTTACCCCGAGAGAATGATATGGTGGAAAATTCATAAGGAGAACCTGCAACTCAGTCTCCTGAGTCACTTCTGGTACCGTTGGGCTCCTTTTGGTCCCTGTCAGTGTCGCCCATGGGAGACCTGGCTGCTGCCAAGGCTTTCCCCAGCCTCTCCCCAGAGAAACTCTGTATGGAGGGGCTATTTCACAGGGCTTGCAGGAGATATTATGTATGTCCTCCTAGCCTTCCACAGTCTGTCCCACAGGTCTGTACAGGGGATCCTCAGCACAGGTAATATTGTCTAGAGAATCTGTCCTTTCATCTTCAGCAGCTGGTCTTTGATGTAGAAGTAAATAGTATGGTAAGGGTTTCCCAAAGGCAATCTTGTTGGCAGTATGCGCTCAGTGTTCCTGAGGACAGAGTATATCAAACATCTTTGCTCTTTTGAGTTTTGTTCTATTTCTTGGAAGTTACAGGAATTTAACCAATTGGTGTGATCACTCGCTTTTATGAGCTACTTGGTGGGTGGTGATTAAATTGCACATATATAAGGGGTCATTATATAATGACACGAGGGGTCATTATATAGGTAGTTACCACTATTATGATATAGTAAAACAACTGCACAGAAGGAGGGCTATACACACTCTCCTACAAAGGTGGCTATTGCCAAAATTATAGAACAAGGTGAACACAATAGTTTTTTGACACTTTGGTTGAGATTCCAGGTGGTTTTCAGAACCTCTAACAAGTGGTCTCTGACTCAAGAGATAATACCTGCACTTGATACCAGGCATCCTAACCCAGCCTCTTAGGGTATGTCTACAATTTGAGCTGGGGGTGTAATTTCCAGTGCAAGAAGACATGCCTGTACTAGCTGTGATCAAGCTAGCGTGTTAAATATAGAGTGTAGCCACAGTGGTGTGAGCAGCAGGAGGGGCTAGCCACCCCAAGTACATCTTAGCTGTTTCAAGTATATACCCATCCATCTCATTGTGCCACCGTGACTACACTTTATTTTTAGTGCACTAGCAACATCTACACTGGGGGAGTTAAGGATTTTTTACGCCCCTCACTGCTGTAGCTATGTCACCCTAAATTTTAAGTGTAGACCAGACCTTAGTCTAACATAATGGTTACTTCATGATTGTTTTACACGTACTTCAGATTGTAGGTGATCTGGTGTGTGTACTACTTTCAAAGTCCTTTCCCCTCTCACAATTCTTACCTTTATATTCTTTCACAGACTGTTAAAAGGATGCTGAATAAAGTACTTGAAAAGCTGGATGAAGACCAAGTCCAGATGCCTGATTATGCCCTAAAATCAGCAGGTATTATTATTCTCCCCAGTTAGAATCAGGCTCCCCATGCTGTTATGCACTGTAAAAGCATATAAGAAGACAGAGTCCTTGCCTTCAAAAAGCTTACAATCTAGTTTAAGACAAGATGTACAAATGAATGTCACCTACACTAGGAGGGAAGAGGAAGAGAGGACAAGGGTCACAGTAAAATAAGATTATGCATTTACATAGTCTGACAATGTTCCAAGCCTTTTTATAAAAACGAACGCGTATTTTATATTGTTTTTATTAATCACTATTTTCAGTTTTATTACCCACCGCCTATTATTTTAATTAGCCACCATGGCCTGTTACTATAGAGAAGGACAGAATAAGTGAAAGAGAGACAAATACTGTTGCTAGAAATCAGTCAAAACCTGTGCTTGTTCAGGTCAAAATATGGTAAGAGCCAAAATTCTTATGGTATTACCAGTGTGGGAAAGCTGTGCCAATGTCCCTTCATGCCCATTTGAGAAGAGTATATGGAAGTAAGCATGTGGGGAAGAGAGAGCTATAAGAATTATGGCTGGTGTATGTTGATTGAGTCACATAAAAGAGTTGTTTGATAATGAATTTTTTTTCTGAGGGTCACATACGGTGATGCATGTCCAGTTTGAATGAGTCACTCACATAAATGATAATTGTATTACAGGGCTTTGTTCTCTATGTATTAGGAGTTAAGCACCCAAAACCTGGTGTTGGTCATTAGATCCTCTGTATATTTCACATTGTTAGGAATACCTGCTGTATTAGAGAGGCAAAGTGAGTCCAACTTCTGTTGGTGAGAGAAACAAGCTTTTGAGCTTACTTAGAACTCTTCTTCAGGTCCATGTAATGCTATATGCGAGATATTATCTCATTATTGTATGAATATTTTAATTTCAGGTGCCAGCATTGTTCAGTCCAGAACTACTAGGAGCTACCGTCATAATAGAGGAAAATTCTTTTGGTTATCATTTCCAATGCTGGTTTTTGTAAAGTCTCCAGAAGTTATTCTTCAGGTAGAAATCAAAATAAAAGAAGTCTTGAGAGTTTCCTTTACCCTTTCCTCTCTTCCTTTTGGGTCTCCTTTTCCCACTACCATTCCCCATGTCCGCTTTCCCTGTTCTTCTCTCCGTACTGCTTGAAGTTCAGGGAAGGATCAGTGAAGATAGAAGGCCAGCGTATGCTGCTGTATTTCATGACATTTTTGCAGACAAACCCAGGTTGGCACCACACCACAAGTGAGGGAAAGAGAGAAATAAAAGCAACAGAATTAAGAATTGGGACCTGGGAATAAACATGGTTCATAAGTGCGGGGGGAAAGTGAAGACCATGGTACTAGAGCTTTTATGAGTGGTGCAGCCAGTACAGTCCATCTGAATACTGCAATGTGGAACTAGTATTTATCCTCAGCATTAAACAACATATTTTATATTTAATTTTTAATTAGACTCTAAACATATGAACTTTGTGATGATTTAAATATCATTGGCATGTTTCAAGATAGATTCTAAGGTGCCAAAGGAATCCCTGGTTTCAGGGATTCCACTGATTTCAGTGGAATTATACCAGTGATATCGTTAGCCACATGGTTGCCTAAACCAATCATCATTGTTTTGTGTTCTGGTTTTAGCCCAATAATTATCCTGGGGACTGCTGGCCTTTCCCAGGAAGTCAGGGTGAAACTGTCATCAAACTGGCTGTGGAAATAATTCCAAGAGCAGTTACAATGGAGCACATTCCCAAGAAAATCTCCCCTACAGGAGAAATCTCCAGTGCTCCTAAGGACTTCGCTGTCTATGTGAGCATCTTCCTTAGCTTTTTATATAAGATTTCTAAGAAGGGGGAAGGGAAGTATGGGGGAAAATATAGGAAAAAAGCAAGTTCTGTATATTTCCTTCACATCTACAACTCACTCCATGTTGTAGGAAGGGAGCAATTCATATATATAACTATCAGCACAATCCTTGTTATTCCATTTACTCTTAAAAATGAGACTTTCCCATTCCTGCACAACCTGCTGTGTCTACATGCTACCTATAAGAGAAGTAATGTGATTTAGGGGATTCTGCACAGGGCTGGGTACTAGGAACTTCTGATTTCCAATCCTGGCTTTGCCATTAACTCACTCAACCTCTCACAATTTCCCCAACTATAAATGGGGCTAGTACTTACTTACCTATCTCACGGGACTATTGTGACTATAAATTAACCAAAACATGAAGTGGTAACTAGTAGGCCACAACTATCAGGCTTCTCCTGATATTTGTAACTTTGGAGATGTATTTGAAATAAATCCTTGGTTTATGAACAAGAGTGATATATTTCATGTGTTGTACCATCTATGTTTGGATTTTTTGGATATCCTGTGATACCACCATCCTGGTCAAACCTGGCTTTTGGAATGGACTGGTGCTACAAGGACCCTTGTTTTATGGATTTAGCACATCACTGTGCATCTGGGATATCATGTCATGCCTTTTGTTTTAACTGTCTGCATGAAGACAAAACACATTTAAACCTGTTGTAATTGGGTTTTCACTGTCTTTTGTTTTCTCCATGCCTGTGTTTTTCTGCAGGGTCTGATGGAGGAAGATGAGGAGCAAGGAACTTTCTTAGGACAGTTCATATATAACTGTGAAGGAGATTTATTTCAAACATTCCAATTGAAGGTACATTAAGGAAGAGGGGAAGTGACTGTGAGATTAAGATGGATTCTATTGCTTGAATTAGGGGGTTGTTTGAGCTTCCCAGCAGCAGTGATCTGGAGAAATAGCCCTGGGTGGAAAGGATTGTAACTTAGTCTGTAGTTCTGTCAATGGTGGCTTTTAAACTAACAATTTTTCTGCAGCACTATTGCTGGAGTCTAATCTGCTGTGTTACCTGCAATGAATTTGGGCAATCTTCCCTTAGTCTGCATAAAAAGAAAACACCTCACATACCACCAGAATATTGGTCCATCAAATTAAACATTACTGATCATTGTAAGGAAATCTTTTTGTTATAGATTACTGAAAATAAATTCAGTAAGTTCAGTAAGTAAACAGTAAGTTCTGTTTAAGTGCTCGTCTGTGTAGAAATTCTGTGCACAGACCTCACATGGATATCAGTGGGATTTCTACATGTGTTGGAGTCAGCCTCTAAGTGAGGAGAACTTCATAGAGTTACTTTGCTTACTGAGGCAGGCTAGCCTATTTTGTGGCTATGGCTCTATAATTACTATTTTAAAGTACAGTTAGTAGAGGTATAAGCATCTTCATATCTTGTGGGCAATGATTTCACATGAGTAAAATAGTGAACAAGTCACCCCTGCATGATGCTAATTGTTGATCGGCAGTGAAAGATACATAAAGTAAAAAATAATAGCTTTAATTTCTTTCTTTCAGAATGAACTTTCTGAATTCATGAGGTTCGTGAAATTGAAAGTGCTAAACAATTGGGGACACCCAGAATATACCTGCATTTATCGATTCAGGGTACACGGAGATCTAAAACATACCCAGGAGTTCTTTAAACAGAATCCCACACCTTAGGAACTCAAAATGGCAACAACACCAGCAAACTAAAAATGAAATTCTTAAGATCCACTCCACTTCATCACCCAAGTGAAAGGGTGTCCATAGAAGACAAAAATAGAAAAATAAAAATGCAAACAACATTATTTTTGGCAAAATTGTTTTTATTCTTCAAAATGTTATTGTTTCTATAGAAAAAGGTACAGTGTGTATAGTAAATAAATAGTATTTGTCTAATATTTCTGAGATTGCCTGGGGTAGGAAATTTGAATCTGAGCGAAGAGGGTTCTACAGGGCAGGATTTAACCTTAGGTGCCCCTAGGCACAGCATCTTCAGCACCCCCTCGCCCCACCCCACCTCCAGTTGACCTTCATATTTTCTGTAGAAAAATGAAATTTTTTAACCCACTTTTAACTTGTAGGTGTCCCTAGAACACTGGTGACCCTAGGCACATGCTACTGTGCCTAATGGGAAATCCGGACCTGGGATTCTAATGAGATAGAAATATGTCAGATGGATTTTTCTTCAAATCTAAATTATTAACCAGAGAAAATTTAGTGTTTTTTTCCTTTCCCCTTGTTTATTCCCCCCCCCCCACTCCTCAGACGTTCTTGTTAACTCCTGGAAATGTGCTGGAAATGGCCCACCTTGACTATCACTTCAAAAGGTTTTCTCTCCCCCCACCCCACTCTCCTGCTGGTAATAGCTCATCTTAAGTGATCACTCTCCTTACAATGTATATGGTAAACATCCATTTTTGCATGGTCTGTGTGTATATAAATCTCCTCACTGTATTTTCCACTTTATGCATCCGATGAAGTGAGCTGTAGCTCACGAAAGCTTATGCTCAAATAAATTGGTTAGTCTCTAAGGTGCCACAAGTAATCCTCTTCTTTTTCCTTAGAGATGGGCTCTTTGTATTTCCTATCAAAGCTTTCCCTTGTGTTCCATGTGGCATTCTTCTTTGCTTATCCTCTGTTGACCCACAGTATTGGTTAGGGGCTCCTGAATTCATAGACAGTGATTGATCTTGGAGAGTTTCAATCTTCACCTACACTTAAACTCATGGGGGCAGTTTCTCAGCTTATGTAAATTGTCCTAGCTCCACTGACTTTGCATTAACAACTTATACCAGCTGAGGATCTGCTCGTGAGATGCTATTTTTTCCTGGTGCATCCCCAATCTCCTCTCTCATTTTCACATAATTTCAATGGAAGTTAGGAGCCTAAATGCTATTGAGGATCTGGGCCTGTATGTTCCTGTTGGTGAAAAGAGAAGCTTATGTATTATATTCCCCAAGTTTTTTACCAAGGCAAGACAATTTGCTATTAAAATCCCACCAAGTCACACAGTTATTTTATTATGTATATATTCCCCTCTCCCTTTCTCTCTTCAGCTTCTCTCTGCCTTTTAGTTTTTGATTTATTAACTGTTTTTTTTACAAATAGGAGAGCTGGCATTCACCTCTTGAACATTTAATGCACCACCTCTGAGACATGCCATTTTCTATCCTCATAGGATTCATCCAACAATATTAATAGCAACAGCATTGCAGCTTAGTTGCTGACTATCTGTGACATCAGACAGTAAGTTTAATAACAAGATTTAGGAGGCACTTGCATCAATCTTGTTATTTATTAATTTCCACCATATGCATTACTCTTATATAATGTTTCCCAGAGTCTCTGATAACTCCCCAAAATTCAGCCAGTAACCAAACTAGCACAATGTAGTTTTGTGGTCAAGTTAGGTATTGCAAATTCAACAACAAAATAATTGCAAAACAAAATAAATAGTCTGCTTTCCACATACGCTGTCACTTTGTGCTGTATGCAAGTCCTCTGACTGGATTTGAGTTTCTCCTCATTCTTTGTTCTTACAGCTTGCTTGCTTGTTTGTTAAGAATTTTGCATTTATATGTAGAATTATCTTCCAGTGCTATTGTCTCTTTCTTATGATTATCTTTTGTGATTCTTCTAATAATATTTTAATGATTGCTCCATCCATGTTACATTAAGTTCTTTTTCGGGTTCTGTTCTATTTGGTTAATGCTTACATTGGTTTAGTATTGTATTTCTGTGTGTTAATTATGAAAAATGAAAACAATTAAACAAGAGAAATGATAAATCTATTTATTTTGTTTTGCTTTTATGTCAACTGTATTATTCACAACCCCATAGCTATTTTTAGTAAAACAAACTAGAAGTAAATACTCCTCTGGACTAAGAGCTGCAAAACTCTCATTGAAGTAAATATGTCATTGTTGATGGTTTATTATGTAAAAACCCACTGCTTTTATTGGGAGGCCAGACTGACACCAACATGCCTTACCATTCCAATGAGTATTTGCCCCTTTAGACTATTCCCTCCTAGTTGCTGGGAGGACATGCAGTAGGATGTACCAGTATACTGTACTTACAACACCTCTAGCTTCCCCCTCAGCTGCTCGCAGGTGGAAGATAGCCTTATTTCATCCACTACACCCACTGTTGCTTTCCATGAGAGGAGCCTCTATCCTTCGTCCTCCCAACTGCAGAAGGTAAAGGATTTTTCCTCTTTCTCTCCTCTTTTCTTGTAGTTATAATGATTTCAGCTGCTACATGGCATCCTCTTCACACTCTGAACCACCTGCCCAGATAGTTATGGGGAGGGAGAGGATAAAGGACCTCCTAATAAGCTCCTTGGGGGTAAGAACTGTCTTATTGTTCTGTGTTTGTACAGCACCTTACACAATGGGATCCTGATCTATGACTGGGATTCCTAGGTAGGTGCTATGAACACAAAAAATACATGACAGCATTTTCAACAGCAGCAAGCTTGGATCCTGTGGCTTTGAGCACTGATTCCATATAGGGTTCCCCTTGTACCAAGAGCCAGAGGAGCATAAATTCTTTTGTACTGTAATGCTGGGTTTTTATTAGTATGCAGTACACCTGTCAAACTGTAACGCAGGTGTCCCGCCCCAGTCAAACTCCCCACCTGACACTGTCCCCAGAGCATACTATGCTTGCCATCAGACTGTAACCGACTGTGAGCTCACCAGCCCCATCTAGTGTTCACATTAAATCATTTCGCTGCCCCTGCCACTCAAGGCAACTCCTAGCCTAACTTTAGTTCCTAAAAAAATACTCAGTTCATTTCCCCCTCTTTTCCTCTGCTCCTTTTCACTCTCTTTTCCTAACCTTTCCTTAGGCCTGATTCCCCACATAGCCACACTAGTTTTACACCAATCTAACGCCTTGATTTCCAGCAGTGTAACATTGGTGTAACAGTGGAGAGTCAAGCACAGGTCTAGCCTCCATTTTTTTTAACTGTTACCTATTTTCACTTTTTATTTTCTTGTTTTATGCTTATTTCCCTTCTTTCATATTTTGGGCCGCTTCTAACACTATGGTTTTTGTCTTGTTCAACTCCTACCTTTTTTATGTGGGTAGTTTTTTGTCCTGTTAATAATTGATACCAACTTTTCCCCTATTTCCTTTGGCTCTTCATTGTTTTTTTTTGTTTTGTTTTTTTTAAAGGAAAGACGTAACATCATCACCACCTTTGTACAGCAGCAGGGCACAGGCAGTGGAGAAGTGCATTGTCCGTGTGATCTGCTCTCCCTGAAACACCCTCAAACCACAACCTTGCACTCTATGCTGCTCCTCCTGAGCTCGCGCTGGCGCGGCTTTTACACCAGCTCAGCGCCACTGATCCCCCGCCCAATGGAGTAACGCCGCAGTGACACCCGAATCAGGCCGCTTCTTACACTCTCCCCGGGGCTAAGCGCACGCTGACGCTATACGAGGCCGCAGAGGTGGGCGGGGAGGAGAAGGGGAAGCGGAACTGGGTTGCGCGGGGCCGGGCTTCCCGGAGAGTTTGAGCTGCGCCGGGTTTATTTTGCTTCCAAATTCAGGGCGGCTGCTGCTGCTGCTGCAATGCGGTTTCGGGCCAAGATCGTGGACGTCGCCTGCCTGAACCACTTCACCCGTGAGCGGGCTGGGCTGGGGGGCCGCGCTGCGCGGAGCCCCGGGGAGCCGGTCTGCAGCAGCGGGGTGGGAGGGAGCCCAGGGGTCAGGACGGGAGCCTGCCTGTGGGGAAAGGGGTAGGGTGAGGTGTGGCGGGGGCTGGGAGATGGAGTGGGGGGGAGATTACAAACCCTCATGCCCCCTGAGCTTTAAAATCTCGGGGAGATGTGCCGCCAGATCCCCTAGCCTCTCCCCGTACCCCAGGGAGCGATGCACCCCACAAAGAGTGGCACGCGTGAGGAGGGGAAACCGGGGCTGCTTTGCAAGCACACGAGCCTCGTCTTTCTGGCTGCTGGTGTCCTTGGCCATACAGTGCTTTATAGCCAGAGCAACTAAACTGGAGTCACTAGCTGGTTTAGAAGACAGATTTCAACGCCTGCTGCCTGGGGAGTGTAACACCCGGCCCTTGCATAGCACATTGTATCCCAAAAGCCATTACTAATAAAGGTGTCCCTGTCTTCATTTTACAAATGGGAAAACTGAGGCACAGAGCCCTGCAACAACTTGCCCAAGTTCTCAGAACAACTCAGTGGCAGATCTGGGAATATCTGTCCATCTGGGATATTTCCAGGGCATGTTGCATTGTAGCATGTAGGCACAATTATACATAAATAACATAAGAATAAAAAAATTACCATGGACCATTATTCTGTGTCTTGTTCCTATGTTCCAAAGATTTTACTCTGTAATCATCCGCTTTTGTGTGTGTGTTTGTTTACTGTTTGTGGTAATGGTAACACCCAGGAACCCTAAACAAGTGAACCTCTTACAGAGCAGTATACAGACAAAAAATAAAAAAGATAGCTCCTACCACAGATTTCTCACAGTTTAGATGTCAGACAGGATAGGAGATAGGTGACAAAGCAAAATAATTATGTGCAGCGTAGTTGTAGCTTTTTCGTTCCAGGATATTAGAGAGACAAGGTGGGTGAGATGATATCTTTTATTGGACCAACTTCTGTTGTGAGAGAGACAAGCTTTTGAACCATAGAGCTCTTGTGTGGCTTGAAAGATTGTCTCTTTCACTAACAGAAGTTGGTCCAACAAAAGATATTACCTCACCCACCTTGTCTCTCCAAACAAAATAATGATGGGGGGCGGAGGGTTTAAACCAAAACAACGGAATTTAACAAAATATCAAAGTCTTGGGTTGCCACTTTCCATTGATTTATTTATTTTAATAATGTTCTTTCCTACTGAACTGCAAACCACAACCTTGCAAGCAAAGCTTTTTTTGTCCTGTGCTAGAAGTTTTAGGAAGTCATTTAATGAAATTTTATCCCATAGGTGTGATCAATACAATTGCCAAACTAGCCAAGACATGCACTCTACGCCTTACAGTGGACAAACTTTACTTCATCCTTACTGATAAAGTGGCTAATGGAGGGGTCAGCATGTGGTGTGAGTTAAGTCAGGTACGTGCCATAGAAATAGGCTGATACTGCATAATTAACAGTATATGAAACATCTCTCAGTGTCTTTAAAACTAAGGTGGCTGTTCTAAAGGTTTAAAAGGGACATCAATGGTGTATA